CGGCCGCGGCGGGGACGTCGCGAGGCGCGCCATCGGCATGGGCACGCCAGGGGCCCTGGGCGGCAGGCACGCGAAGTAGGGCATCGCGTCCGCCAGGCCGGCGCAAGCCGCGCCAGGCCAGGGTGCGCGGTGGTCGCCCCCCCAGGCCCCAAGGGGTGTCTCCTCCTCGCCTCCTCCTCCCTTCTCCTCCTCCCTCCTCCTCTCCTCCTCCTCCTCCTCCTCCTCCTCCTCCTCCTCCTTCTCCTCCTCCTTCTCCTCCTCCTCCTCCTCCTCCTCCTCTTCCAACCCTTCCTCCTCCCCCCCCCCTCCTCCTTCTCTCCTCTCCTCCTCCTTCTCCTCCTCCTCCTCCTCTCCCTCCTCCTCCTCCTCCTCATCATTTTACTGCTCCTCCTCCTTTTCCTCTTTCCTCCCCTCCTCTTCCTCCTACTCCTCATTTTACTCCTCCTCCTCCTCCTCCTCCTCCTCCCCTCCTCCGCCTCCTCAGTTTCCTCCCCTCCTCCTTCTCCTCCTCGTTTTCCTTTCTTCTCCCTCCCTCGTCCTCCTTCCTCCTGCTGCTGCTCCTCCTCCTCCTTTTCCTCCTCCCCCTCCTCCTCCCCAGTTTCCTCCCCCCCTCCCTCCTCCTCCTCCTCCTCCTCCTCCTCCTCCTCTCCTCCTCCTCCTCCTCCCCATTTTCTTTCTTCTCCTCGCTCCTCCTCCTCCCTCCTGCTGCTCCTCCTCCTGCTGCTCCTCCTCCTCCTCCTCCTCCTCTTCCTTTCTTCCTCCTTCTCCTCCCCCCCCTCCTGCTCCTGCTCGTCCACCTTCCCCTCCTCCTCGGTCTCCGTCTCCATCTTTTCCTCCTCCTCCTCGTCCTCCTCCTCCTTCTACATTCCTTGTCCTGATGAAAAACTCCTTCCCGGCGCACGCCGAGGCCAGTCGGAACGGCGGGCCGGGCTTCTCGCCCGAGACTTCCTTACCACTTGTGAGCCTGACGCTTCGAAACTGGCGAGAGCTCCGCAGATTGAGGGCGGGTGGTTTTCTGCATGTGGCTCTCGCCTTAGCGCCGCGCACATTCGTCGCTTGAACAAGATGCAACAGTTTCACTGGTCGAGGGCAGGTGGTTTTCACAATGTGGCTCTCGCCATAGCGCTGCACACATTCGTCTGAACAAATTGGAACAGTTTCACGGGTTGAGGGCCGGTGGTTTTCAACATGTGGCTCTCGCCTGAGCGCCGCGCACAGTCGGTTGAGCAAATTGCGACAGTTTTACTGGTTGAGGGCGGGTTGTTTTCAAGTTGTGGCTCTCGCCTGAGAGCCCCGCGCGCACATTCGAATACATTGCAGCAATTTCACTGGTTGAGGGCGGGTGGTTTTCAACACGTGTCTCTCGCCTCAGCGCCGCGCATATTCGTTTGAACAAAGTGCAACAGTTCCACTGGTTGAAGGCGGGTGGCTTTCAAAATGTGGCTCTCGCGATAGCGCTGCATACATTCGTTTGGACAACTTGGAACAGTTGCACGGGTTGAAGGCTGGTGGTATTCAAAATGTGGCTCTCGCCTGAGCGCCGCGCACAGTCGGTTGAAAAGATCTGCCAGAATTTCACTGGTTGAACACAGTTGGCTTTCAACATGTGGCTCTCGCCCTAGCGCCGCGCACATTCGTGTGAACAGATCTGCCAGCACTTCACTGGTTGAGGGCGGGTGGCTTTCAAAATGTGGCTCTCGCCTTTGCGCCGCGCACAATCGTTTGAACAAAGTGCAACAGTTTCACTGGTTGAGGGCGGGTGGTTTTCACAATGTGGCTCTCGCGATAGCGCTGCACACATTCGTTTAAACACATTGCAACGTTTTCACTGGTTGACGGACGGTGGTTTTCACAGTGTGGCTCTCGCACTAGCGCCGCGCCCATTCGTTTGAACAGGCCATGCATTCACTGGTTGAGGGCGGTTCGTTTTCAAATGTGGTCCTCGCCTTAACGCAGAAGACAATCGTCTCAACCATCTGCCAAGGGTTTCACGGATTGACAACGGTTCGTCCTGGCGCCGCGCACATGGTAAACGTGTCAGGAATGGTGTTTTGAAGCGATTCAGAACTGTCAGGGCGCAACAGTTTCGCTGATTCGCGGTGTTGGAATTCCAGGAATGGCTTTCTGGCGCGACTCAGGATCGTCAAGACGCGACAGTCTGGTTGACTCGTGGCGTTGAAATCCTGGGAATGGTGAGTTGGCACGCTTCAGGGTTTTCACACCGTTGTATCCCAACGCAGCACTCCCCTCAGTGGAAATGAATCCTTCTAGATGCCTCTGAAGAGGGAACTTGGAAGGAGGGCGTATTCCAACATAGTTGATTCGTTTGGGTTTGCACAGATCCTCCTCCTCCTCCTCCTCCTCCTCCTCCTCCTGCGCATCCTCCCCCTCCTTCTCACCCTCCTCCACCTTTTTTCCTCCTCCTCCTCCTCCACCTCCTCCTCCTCCTTCTCCTCCTCCCTCTCCTCTTCCTCCTCCTCCTCCTCCTCCTCCTCCTCCTCCTCCTCCTCCTCCTCCTCCTCCAGGGGTGGGCGCTTCTTTCGATTTCGGCCTCCCCAGACCCCATCGAGTCATGAACAAATTGCGACGGGAGGCCCTTAGCAGGCCGCGGGGCCGTCAACAAAAAAAGTCAGGATGAAAAACCGGTCCCGGGGAATGGGTCGAGACCTCGAGGAGTCGACGTCACGAACAAATCATGCATGGCGTTTGGGTTTGGGGACGTGGGGTGGGCGTTTTACATTGACTTCCGCCCCTGGGGCACTCTATGGCGGACCACGGCCTTCAACGCAAATCTGGGGCGAAAAACAACAGCTGGAGAAAGAGTCGGGACCTCTGGGGCCGCGCCCGGAAGAAACTGCATCGTCGGGTGTCTGCGTGCTGGTCTGGCGGCGACCGCAGCAACGCGAGCGTGTGGAAACCGCCTCGGACGACGACTCGGGAGGCACGTTGGGGAGGAGGAGGAGGAGGAGGAGGAGGAGGAGGAGGAGGAGGAGGAGGAGGAGGAGGAGGAGGAGGAGGAGGAGGAGGGAGGAGGAGGAGGGAGGAGGGAGGGGGAGGAGGGAGTGGAGGAGGGAGGAGGGAGGAGGAGGAGGGAGGAGGGAGGAGGGAGGAGGAGGAGGGAGGAGGGAGGAGGAGGGTGTGGCCGCGCGCAGCTCCACACACCGGGCGCCTCGCGTTCTTCGAGGCGCGGGCCCCCGACGTCTCGACCGCTTCTCCGGGACGAGGGCGCGGGCGAGAGCGAACCGGAGGGCCCCCCTTCGCCGCGGGGAGGCCCCCCCTGGCCGCGGGGGCTCCCAACGGCCCGTGCAGCAGGCGGCCGGGAAGCGAGCGGCCCTGCGGCCCCGGCCGTGCGGCGAACGGACGGGGGAGGGGGGGGGGAAGCGCGGTCTCGAAGCCCCGCCCGCCTCCCGTGCGGCCCCTCCGCACCGCGAGGGCGCCCCCCCGCGGGCGCCCTCCCCCCCGCCCGCGGCGCGGGGGGGCGCGCGCGAAGGGGCGGGCCCCGTCGCGCCGGGCGAACATCCGCCGGCGACGGGGCTTCGGGGCCGCGGGGCAGGCGCGAGCTCAAGCCCCGTGCTGGCGCGGCGCGACGAGCCCGCAGTCTCGACCGCGCGACGGCCAACCAAAAAAACGGTGGCCAGTACGGCCCCGAAGCCCTGTCCGCCCTTCACGCGACCCATCTCTCCCGCGAAGGCGCACCCACCCGACTGAGGTCCTCCCCCCCCGCCCCGCCGCTGGCGCGAAGGGAGAGCCCGCGAGCGGACGGGCGCCGTCGAGGTAGAAGGGCGCCCACCAAGTCGGCGGGGATTCGGGGCCGCCCCGCGGCCGCGCCCCCCCCTCGGCTCCTGCCAGGTCGAGGAGCGAGAGAGAGGGGTTTCTTTCAGCCGCGCGCGGTCCGCCTGCTCCCGCGCGACCGCCGCGCTCTGGGGGCCCCGTGGCGGCCGTCTTACACGTTCTCCCGCAGGCGGGGCCCCCGTCCCGAAAGGTCGTGCGGAACCCCGCCCTGCGGGTGCAAACGCTCATGCTGCGCCGCCCGAACCTCGCGGTCCGCTGGTGCCGTAACGCACCGTCGCCAGGTGGTGGCCCGCTGTCCTCGACTACCTGGCGGCCGCTCTCCCTGCGTGACGGCGGCGCCCCACCCTGATCCGCCTTGTGGGGCGGCGCCGCCGCCGTCGCCAGCACGCCTCGTCGGGCCCACTGACTCTCTGGTCAGAGCACGTTGATGTGATCGATCAGGTCCTCTGTGGCCGCCTGCTGGCGTTCGAGCGCGCGCCCCCAATGCTTCGCGAGCTGGCCCTTCTTCTGGCCCGTCTTGGCCCCCGAACCCATCGGGCCGGAGCTGTCGAATAACGGGTGCAAGCGATCGATCGCCCTGTCGCGCTCTGCCTCCTTCAACATGTGACAGCTCTCGGGCGGGCGGAAGGCGCGGTAGTTGTCATGGTTGAGGCACCCATCCTCGCAGTGCGGGCGGACGTGTGAGCATGCTTCGTGAGCTTACGGTGGAGGTTTTAGATTCAGATGCCTTCGCAAAGGAACCCGGGGTCTCGCAACCGATGGGTGGCCAAATGTGGGCCACCCACCTCGCCCTGAAAGAGTAAGGGATGCGCGGGGGTCTGGGCCCCAGAAAAACGTTCCTTATCCAATGCCGCCGCCGTATTGCAAGTCTCCTCGTCTCTGGAGTCGGTGGTGACTGTAACTGCGCCGAGCTCGCCCGTCCAGTTGGATCTCCTCCCCTCTCGTGGTGTTAATGACGGACACCAGCTTGCCTGTCCTCAGGACCGACAAGGTGCCCTCCTGCTCTGGGGCCCCGTGGCCGAGGTGGATCATCTCCGTTTGGCCCTCTGGGCTGCGCTCGTGGGGCTCCTCGATATGCCTCGCCCCTTTGCTGCCAACCGTCTGCATGCCGCCCTTTCGCGACGACGCATCGCGACGGGGAGATGATGGCGCGGTGCTCCCACGCGTCGGTGCCCCCTTCTGGTGGTGGTGTTCCCTGGCTCGTTCACCTGCAACGTCACCGCGCAGCGCGCCCACTCCTTCGGCTTGAGGGGGGGCGTTTTGAAGTGTGGGCACGCGTACATGATGTGGTTGTTCCCGCCGAAATCGATCTTGAAGTCAACTGCCGTTCCCAGACGCTCGTCCTGTAAGACGGCCTTGTAGATCTTCTTCAGCCGGACGTTCTTGTGCTTCGCGGGCTCCGCCTCTAAGGCGTGCTCGATGGACGTTGTCTGCTGCGACGGCGACTCCTGCTTCTGCTTGTCCCTCAGGTTGGCCCATCTGGCCTTCAGGCTACCGATCCCTGGCCTGACCCAGAATTGTTTCACCGCTGTTATGCCTGCTTCCGCGGCACCTGAAGAACATGCGCGGGCACTGGTGCAAGGGGTTCGGGATTCTGTTCATGAGCGTCCTCGAACACTCGCCGCCCACGGCCTTTGCATCGTACTCGTGTGAGACGACCACCTGATGTTCTGGAGCCATGGAATCTCACCGCTCTCGCAAGCCAACGCGAAGAACGATACGAAACCGCGCTTTTCTCACAGAATTGGCACGTGATCGCGTTGGTCGCGACAACGCGGCCACCCACGAATTTGCGCGTGCTGTCGGCCTCCTTGGCTAAGTGCGTCAACTTCATCTTGGTTGTGATCTCTGCCCTGGCGGCCAGGCTCTCGTCCCGGAAAATCGTGCGGAGCGCCGGCGCGCTCTCCCGACCCCTGCCCACGGTCGTCCGCCTGGCGGCCTGGTTCCTGTCCCGGAGGGTC